ATAAATAATTTTGAAAATGAAAAATTTACAGGTTTTAACTTTTTAATTAAATATAGAGTATTCCAATGGTGCGTGCCCATATTTCGAGCTACAACACCTATATTTGACAATAAACTTCCGATCGTTCCAACTTCTTGCCTATCAGAATTCCTGAATCAATATTTTAAAAACATTATTATTATTATTCAGTATGTACCTACTTATTAGTTTACTAGTTATGTCAAATTAGAAAATAAGCAAGGAGAATGGGAGAATAATTTGCAGGACGGAGACCAATCTACAAATATCAATCAAAAGACAAAGGCAGTAAGCAAAGTTCAGCGTTTAGTGTCGGCCTCCGTGCCGCCACATTTTCGCCACGTTATCGCCACGTGGCGTAAACGTGATTATATAAGTTCCCGAAACGTGGCTGGAGCGTGGTTGCTACCAAGAAAGTGTTCCCCATTTTGGTTACCGCCACGTGGTAGAACCGTGTCTATTACGTGGCAGAAATTTTAGCAATACACTTTAAAGTTTCTTAAGTCGTGGTTAGCTACGTTCCACCCACGAAAAATGCTACTTGGGACATAAAATGAGGATGTAGCACCTGTAATATTTCAACACAAAAATATTTAAGTACCTAGAGCAATTTTGTAATACACCATTTGGTTGTTCATTAAAATGAATTTTTTGATAAACCCTTGAAAAAATATTAGATACAGAGACGTATTCATTCAAAAATTTCTAAACTGTTTAACTTAAACCTATAGCATGTTATATCCGTAGAACGTTTGTGTAATAGGCTTTCGAATTATTGAATAATATACAGAGCGGTTCATTTAAAAAAACGAAGTTTTTATTATTTAATTTTTCGAAAATATAATCTTATGATATAAACACCCTGTAAATATTGAAATAGTGATGAAATATGGACGAGGTTACTTCGGGGCTCAACTAACTTCATGCGTTTTTGATTATTTTTAAGAAAATTTAATAAAAATTTGAATAACATGGCAACGCAGCATCATATTTTCAAAAAAAATCCAATGATGTAAAAGTCACTGAAGTAGCAATCTAAAAATGTCAAAACATACAGGGCGTTTCATTTAAAAATTCATTTTTGCTACTTGAACGTTGAGCGCTCTGTATAAATGAAACTATTTTCTAGTTATGGGGAGATAATTGGCTTACCCTTTATATTGATAGACGACATATTTGGAAAAAAAAGTGTCTGTAAATAATTAAAACAATTATATTTATACTTTCAGTAATATGACAAACGTCAAATTCAAAATAAAGTTAAGAACATATTCTTTTAATCAGGAGTGTTTTACTAAAAATTTGACATATCAACTCCATGACGTCATAAGCAATAGCCAAGATGACACTACTGCACATGACGACACCTGTCATCTTGTCACATGTCAACTTAAACAGTGTTGCCTAATTAATCCAATATGTCATCAGCCTAGCAATGTTGCCAACCTAACCTAATTTAGAAGTGTTGCCGACCTATAAATGTTGTAAAGTACAAGATGATAACCAGCGTTCACGTGATTGTCTCGTTAATAGCAGCGCTACAAGCACGAACAGCAGTCTGACAGTCTAAAAGACTAGCGAAAACAGTAGGTAGGTACGCAGAGTGCGTGCAATTTTTGGTCGAAGAAATGCAACTAATTATTCTACAGTTAAGAAACTAATCAAAAATTTGATCAAACTGGCTCGATTGTGAACGAGAAACCATAATATTGTCTGAGAAAATTCGACATACCTATACTGAAGTGAAAATATGCGAAAATGTAATCAGCAATGGCAGCAATTACTTGTTGGATGCTGATGTATTCCACACATAATCCGATATAATATTTACAATTTTCTAGTAAATGATTCGTTTTATTGAAAATTTAAATCTGGCGCTCATTTTGAAACACCCCATACCTATTAAATTTTTGAATAATACCTAAATGATGACGCGCAAGTAAGAGTTTTGAAAAATGGTAGTGGAAAAAATAAATTTTCGTCAGTAGATTTGTATAGGAAGTATTTTTATTTTGAAAAATTTAACGCCTAATTATAGCAGTACATTATCAATTTTTCAAGTGCCATGGTACACCTGCTTGCAATACCTATAATAAATAGCACGTGCAATCCAGGATTTTTAGAATAACATTTTTGCTTCAATAAATAACACAACTCGGCAAATTACAAACCCTAACGACCGTATCATTTCATAATGGTTTCTAATTATATCTTTAGCAGTAAAAAAACGAAGAAGAGAAAGATACCAAGAATAAATAATAAATCAGTAGTCGGGCTCAAAAGCAATAAACCAATTTGGCTTTAAAAGTGATACCGAAAATTAGAAGCTGTCAAAAGTCAACTTCTTAACCTATAATTATGTTTATGCTAGTTTATTAAGCGCTGTGGGGTTTAAAAAAGGGTCATCGTCAGGTATAAAAGAAGAAAAAGTCGAAATCTTGAAATGAGTAAGGTGTGAATCCAAATTGAGTTTTGTTTAGATATACGAAATAGCCTTCAAGTAGATATTAATTTTGTTTTATTACAGATTAACAAATCATACATTTAATAAGTATTTTTTTTATACGGGGAACCTACTATTTTATACTAACTTCTTAAACGGTAACAAATAGAAAGTTGGTTAAATTAGACAAAACTTGTGCAGTTTTGTGCCAAAAAGCCTTTGATATTTACAGGGAGATTCAAAATATCGGACAAAAAAGAAATTCATTTAAAGAAATGACAATTTTTTTTGTCCGATATTTTGAATCTGCCTGTATATATAAAAAGTTTCTTGGTACCATTTTAATGAGCACAAAACTGTGTAACTTTTGTCTAATTTAACCAATTGTCTATATGTCCCTATTAAATAGAAGGGACCCTGTATAAGTACCTACAGTACTGATTTTTTTCCTTTTTGGTATAGCCGTACCAAGAAAATTCAGGTGATACGTTACAAACAAACACAAATTATTTATATTGACAGTTGGCATTTCTATAAATGCGGTGTTGTCAAATCGAGTAAGAAACCGTATATTAGTTCGGTTAATAAAAGTTTGCTGTTTGGCAATGGCCTCAGGCCCCAAAGCGTAGCCAATAAATCAAAGCGAAGATAAAGAATATATAAAAAAAGTACACAGGTTGTAAAGCTACCCTTATTGACTCCAAGCCGTATGTGTCCAGGCCGTACAGCGCAGTTGGGAGATCAGAGCGAAGCTGGAAGAGGTTTGAAAAAGTTAACGGCAATTCGGTATGACTCCAGGCCGTATGTGTCTAAGCCGTACAGCTAAGCTGTTAGTTTTATACAATTTTTCTGATAGTGCAAGTCAATTTGTTGGTCTGGTACAACACAAGGCTTAGGTAAAAATGACAGTTAGCATGTACCAATTAATATGGCAACATTGTATTTTTTTAGACATTCGACACACTTCCAATGTCAATTGACGAACCTAAACGTTTTTTGAAATGTGTTTTAGAGTGTCTAAAATGGTCTAAGAAGGTCTAAAAAAATAGCGCGTTCCACCGAAGTCTTTGGTCTTCTCTTATATTCTTAGAAGGGTTAAAAATATACCACCTCTCATGAGGAATCAGTACCGCTGGAAATTTTCCTTATATACATTCTTATTACTTTCGCATGATATGTTTTTATGTCCAGTTACTATCCAAATTTGGCAAGAGTAGCTGCCCCTCCATTATTCTGTTCTAAATTTTGTGTTTTTTTAATAGTAGATTTCTATTCCTTAATTCACGTATGTAACCCGTCTCTTAAAATCCGCGCGTGTTAATAAAATATATGAATACACTTTCAAAAGCGTTTTCATGGTATTCTTTTCCTTATTTCTTTGATTTATTGTCTTATTGTAATTTAAAGCTATTTATCGCTAATTATAGCTATACCTATATTACTATTTAGGACTATTTATCCCTATTTTTGTCATACAGGAATTGTTAGCAGCCGCTATACATTGCTATATAAAGCTATTTATTACTACATATTGCTATTTACCTCTAATTACCCATCCCTATTTATTATTTGTCAAGAATTATATAGTGGATCTTGGAAATATGAAATTGAAATATTCAAATTGATTTCAACCACAAAATAGGGTAAAATCTACGATTTTAGAAGAATACTTTTTCAGAATAATTAATACACAAAATCGGCTATTAAAATTTAGAAATGTAGCTAGAAATAGACAGGTATATAACTATAGATATACGTTTTAAATTAATAGTTATATTTCTGGTCTACTACTTAGGTAGGTACATTCTACTCTACTAATACAATACAATCCAAAAACTAGTTACCTATAAAAAGTGAAAAGCAAAATATTGGAAAAAGGGAGGTACCTAACCCATTAGGCTAAACCTAAATGACAATCCCGCATTATTAATATTAATCGTAATACCTAGATAATACCTAACAGAACCTACCTATTTGGTAAAACAAAACGAATTTAAAAAACATAATAATTGTAAAATGTGTATTCATTTCTCCTGAAAGTGTACCTATACCAATATACCTATCTATTTCAATTAAATTATTTTTTTCTATAATCCGCCGGAAAGCTTTCTTGTCGATTTAAATAAGATGTAACTAGTTATCTAATAAATTAATAAATTTTTTTTTGGATTATCCTGTAGCGTTAATTCAGATATAATTGTAGTAGGTACCTACGACCTAAGTACCTACTATACAGCAAGGGTGATTGTTATTATTTATTTAGATGTTAGACGACAATGTATAAAAGATACCTAAACATAAGAACGAATGCGTTTTTATATGCATAGGTAGGTATACAATAAAACATCTGGTTTTGTTAAATAAAGAGGTAGGTACCTGCCTACCTACCTACCTACCTACCCACCCAGGTAGGGCGTTAAAACCAAACTGAAATAAGTACGTAAATACCAACCTACATTTTCAACTGAAAATTAGTTATCTTATTTTAATTAGGCTTATATATTATTTATTATGTCTACCCTATAATTAATAGACCTACCTGCATTCATATTAGGCACCCCGAAAGGCCCGGTGTTCTGAAACATAGGCCCTGGACCAAAAGGATTTACAATAGCCTGATGTGGCCAATTAGGATGTGCCGCTTGATATACAGCAGCAGCCAAGGCCGAAAACGGAGTTGGTCTTATAGGTCCTTGACCAGAACTCAACAATGCTTCTTTAGAAAAGTCTCTTTCCCTGTTTCTCTGCTCTAAAAAGTCAGTTTCTTTAGATGGGGAGTCCCCGTTTTTATCTGATTGCAAGTCTTCTACGTCTACAATAGAATCTTCTTGATTCGAGTCGTACTCATCATCAGAAGATTGATGAGTAGGACTAGAAGAAGGTATAGTAGAAGAATTGGGACTAATTGATTTTATCGGCCTTGTATCTGCTAGCAATGAAGCTACACTAAAACTAATATGTCCGTTCTTTCCAGATTGCTGAGCATCATTACTGGCTTTATCACTTATATTTTGCATAGTTTCGCCTTTTTTGGAGTCCAGCTGATCCAAATTTTGGACAGTCATTATTTGAGCACTTTCTAGCGGGTTTTTGAGCATAAGTCACCACGTAACACGTTACTTTAACGTCACGTTAACATCATAACACGTTAACACTTCATTAATTCTTTGATATTATGACGTAATCACCGACTTATAGCTAAAGGTGTTCAGACTGCACTGAACTGACAACAGAACATGGTAAGTCGCTAATAACTTTAGGGCGGAGCTCCGGAGAGGCGTGGCGTTGAGCTCCGCCTTACCGTTAACGACGTTATTAGGCAAATCGGCCAATGAGCTTTGGTTGTCCCTAACTACAGGGGAGTGGCGCAGTAAATTATTGATCATACCTGCCCCTCTTGTATACCTAATTTTCTGCAATATTCATTTGGATTGTTGCTGGTACCTTTATTTTGTCTCTCTCCAGATTTTTATTATTTTAACTGCTGCTTTAAAAGCTTACACTTGTTTATGGTCGTTAAAAAAGCCTTTTGAAATTGTTATAACTTAATTATGAAGAAGGAAGGATGGACTTTGCGGTTTGGAAATGGGCTTTTGAGTTTGGCTATTATTAAAAAATATTTTTTCAATGGAATTGTGATTTTTTAATCTACTTAGTAAGTAGTTGTCGAGCTAAACTATATCTATTGAAAAATTTGGAAATTAGCAGCTATACATTCCAATATGTATTATTAATAATTTTAAAATTTTTGGCCTATGCTGACAAGCCGCTGCTTAGTATGTTAGGTACACTGAAAAAAAAAAATGTTTTAAGTTAGACTGATTTGGGCGACATTTGTAATTTGTTTTTTTATTGACACAATATCGTTCCTATATAGATATCCATCTCACTTAACTATTAAAAATAAATGATTTGACATGAAACATTTGAATGTTAACAAGTCAGTATTCACTGTTGTACATAGGTATCTAGATTAATAAAGTAAAGATATTCTAATTGCAAAGTATGTGAAAAAACATGAGAATTTCACTAAATGTTATTCAAGTAGGTACAATTTTTTAAATTTATTGCAAAAACTAAAGATTTTTTCATGAAATATGTCAATTTCGAGATGGTTAAAAACTGAATTTAAGGATTTACAAGGGAGAGTTTAGATAATAGTTAGTGTTACTAAAATTAATATAAAAAGTTTTAAAGTCATTTACCTATATTAAAGGCTGGAATTTTAAAATAAATGAGACTGGTAATCTCGTTGGAATCAATAAGATTATTTACAATTTTATATAGAATCTTAAGGAGGTCCTTTCGCCACCAATGTTAAATAAAAAATATTAGATTATAACTAAAATTAATTTTTTTCTAATAGTAGATGTACTTATTGATCTAATAGTGAACTTTTAACTATACCTTACCGTGCAAATTTTTTAAAAATGCGTGTGTTTGTACAGTGTCTTATGAGAAAGTAAGACTTCAACAACAATTTTCGAATTATAATTAATTTTACTATTATTTATTGATTAGATGGAGTAGAAAAAACTAAAAATAAGGTTTTTGAAATATTTAGGTTTTGTTTTTTACAATAAAATATATAGGTTACCGTGGAATTTATTGAGAAATTTTTATTAAAAAATCACAAAAAATTTTCAACTAGGTTACTTGAAAATTTTTTGTGATTTTTTAATATTAATTTCTCAATAAGTTCCACGGTTTACTATATATATTTTATTGTAGGTAGGTATAAAACAAAATCTAAATATTTCAAAAACCTTATTTTTAGTTTTTTTCTACTCCATCTAATCAATAAATAATAATATAATTCGAGAATTGTTGTTGAGGACTTACTTTGTCGTGAGGCACTGTACAAATACTCACATTTTAAAAAAAAAATTGTCAAAAATTTGCAAGGTAAGGTATAGTTAAAAGTTCAGTATTAGATAAATAAGGACTTCAACTATTAGAAAAAAATTAATTTTAGTCATAATCTAATAACTTTTTTTTAACATTTGAGGCGAGAGGTGTGGCGAAAGGACCTCCTTAATGTCATTTATTTGACGTCTGTCTTCCAGGGAAATTAAATTTAAGTTTCGCCTGACTAATGCAATATTGTTTTCAGTAATGGAGTAGCATTTATTTAAGTTAAGAAAAATGAAGTTTTGTTTAAAATAAGTGACACTTTATATTAGTTCAAAATCTGTAGCAGTTTTAATTGTGTAGTATATTTTTAAATCATCTGCGTACTTTTTATATTTACAGAACTTGAAGTATTTAGATATGTAATTGATATAGATATTAAATAATAAAGGCCCCAAGTGGGATCCCTGAGGTACTACTGAAGAAATGTCACTAAAAGGTGATACATATTTACCTGACTGCTGCCTGGGACCTATTACTAAATTAATATAGTAGGTAAAATACGATTACAATAATAAGAAGACCGCTACGTCCATGGGCGAAGTTAAGGGGGGGGCTTGGGGGGGCTAAGCCCCCCCAAAAACCAAATTAGCCCCCCCAAAAATAATTAGAACATTTATCGCACATCCACCAAAACATTTCAGAACAGAAATTAAAAAATAAAAAGAATCGTGCCATTTGATTGATTCTGCAATTTTACATTTAGTTCAGGAGGCAGTGAATTTTTTTCGTATTCATTTTTCCAGTCGGTGTATATGAAAAATAAACTGTTCTTTTAGTGACAAAAAACAAAATTTTTGAGTCTGACACTTATTTTCCCAGTCATAACTATTTTACATTTACTAAACTAGAACATAAAGCTTATAAAAATAGCAGTTTGGATTATCTCAGATAGTGGAAAGTGAGTGTGGCAGAAAATTGAGCATATAAATTGATACAATCATGAACTGTTTATAATAATAAGTCTGGCTGATTTACGAAATTGGCTAATGAGTCTGGTAATATCTTCTAAATGGAAAAAATATAATATTTTTGCTTTTATTTTCCCGGGTTTGAAAATTTATCACGTGATAGATTAAATTATAATTTTACACCTCCATTTTATAGCCAATCAACTGCTGTTATTTTAAAACACCTTCATGACAACCAGAAAAATTTCCGGAAATTTTTCTTTTGGTGGGTACCCTGAACGAAATTATACTGAAAATTTTTTTGACAGTTGAGCAGCTCTTTCATGCATATAAAAAATTTGCCATTTCAGTGGTTAATATTTTATTTAATACCAATTATAACTAGGTAGAAATACACTACATTTATTTTATGTAAAATAATAATTAGGTTTTTCGCGTCAACTAAACGACTTCAAATATGACAAATGGTCATGGTATGGTCACAGCATATTCTGTGGTATGGCTACCTTTAAAAATTTGATTTTAGTCGTTTTAATGCATGTCTGTCAAGTTTTAAAATTTGGATATTTTGGTGTAAAACTTTCTTACCCAATACCAAACGTGCCTAAATTATTGTCAGTAAATTTTTGCACACTCACGCATATTTTAAGAACATTATCCATCTACTTAGGATAAATTTCAAAATATTCGTAAGTGAAAATACACGTCTGGCTGACAATTACAATTACAGAGGCCTGCCAGACTCACAAGTAGTGTCCGACCGAAGGTTCGGTTACGGTTTCGGCCAACTTTGGCTTTAAATAATAGTTTCGACTACAGTTTCGGTTTCGGCGGAAAACTGGCCGAAACTGCAGCTGACAGCGAAACTACTTTTAAAAGTTTTCGTATCACAATTGGTTGTGTCCGGCGCAATGGCGACTGTGCCGGGTGCCATTCCTACACAGTGCACGACCACGTACACACAAACTTCTCTGCTTTGTTTTAAGTGAACATGTCAATAAATTTATTAATGGCTTCTTTTGATCACATAAATAAACAGGTAATAAGTAAATGTAGCTAAAATTTATAATACGAGTTAATTAGTCTAAAACAAGGATTACAATGAGATATTGCAAATTTCAATAAGAGATTGCCTTAAAAGAAAGTTCTTGTTTCTGTTTCGGCCGAAACTAAGAAAGGAGCCGAAATTTGGTTTCTGTTTCGGTTATAAAACCGTATTTCGGTCGGACCTGACGGTCATTAGACGAGTCTGGCAAGGCTTTCGGGGTGTTCCCCCATTAGCCAGATTGTATTTTAAGCTGTTATCATAATATACATTTTTCTAGTAGTGAGAACACTTGTAACAGGGATCCTTACTGGACATTGCCAACTAAAATTACACCTTAGTAAACTGAGAGTAGTAGAAGATAGTGCAGATTTTGTGAGGAGGAGGAAAAAATCTTCATTCACATTCTAACTAAATGTGTAGCACTTGAGAATCCAAAGGCACTATACCTAGGAGCATATCAAATAGAAGAGGGAGATTTACCTAACTTGAAGCCACTCCAAATCCTACACTTCCTTGAGAAGGTATAATTGGAAGGATCTTTATTCGCGATTCAAGCTAAGTGATACGCCCTCTGGAGGAAATTTGTAGAAGGTCCCTATAAGTAGGATATCGTTCAGTGTTGCCAGAAGTAGCAAAATTTCTCTACGTCGTCGGATTTTAGCTCTTGAAGAAGTGGATAAGACCTTTTATTTAAGAATCAAAATTTGTGTATAGTAATATGTAATCATACTCTATATTTATTTAAGGACTTTTTTATAAAACCGATTTATTATATTAATTTTTTTTTTTTTAATTTCAGTTCATTTATTAATTTTGTTTTAAAATCAGTTCATCATTTGGTAACGAGTTCATTGTTTACATTTTAATTTGTATCAATTACAATTCGAGTTTTTTTTACTTTTTAGCTTTAAATTTGTTTATTTCTTATAGTATGTGATAGTGTTTATGTTAAAAATGAAATCTGCGAAAAAGTCCCCAGCAAATTGCAATCTATATGGTGTTAATGTCAAAATCAAAACTGAAGTATTCATTATTTTCCAAGTGCAAGTCGTAAAATTTAGTTTTTTACCATAAATGGATATCTACAAATTCACAATATTGAAATTTTGCAAAACTTTTTTTAGAATCGATATATGATATTTTATTCATTTTCATAGATTCGCCAGAATTTTTTTACTTAACTTCAGTAGGTATACCTCTAGAACTATTATATATTATATGACTAGGGCTTTAGCCCCCCCAGATCTGATGACATAACTTCGCCCATGGCTAGGTCATAACCATTACTTCGAATTTTGAATACATATTATTTATAACTACTAATAAATAAAAAAATAGGTAAG